TTTATTCCCCCCCTCCCCTCTTCTTACCCCCCCTCCTCCCTCTCTTCTTACCCCCTCCCCTGTAGCGTGGCCGAGCTGCACTCCGGTCCGCGGTGGCCGGCCGGCCGGAGTGATAGGAAGGTGCACACTGAGTGTGCACATCCTGTCAGTCCGGCCGTTACAGGAAACAGAAACTCTGCGTGGAACAGGAGTTTCTGTTTCCTGTAACCGGCCGGACTGACAGGAAGTGCACACTCAGTGTGCACCTTCCTATCACTCCGGCCGGCCGGCCACCGCGGACCGGAGTGCAGCTCGGCCACGCTACTGGGGAGAAGCTGCAGCCGCCTGACCGCTCTTCACGCTCAGGCGGCTGCAGTATTTAAAGGGCCGGCCCCAGGTGCCGACGGCCCACCGGGAAATTTCCCGGTATCCCGGTGGGCCAGTCCGGCCCTGGTTTAGTGTCAGAAAGAGCTCTATTCACTCAAACAACTGCAACATGTGCTAAACCAAATTACACAGATTTTCCCAGAAGCCAATGTTTTTAAAGAGACCCTGTAGGCACCCAGACCACTTCAGCTCATTTAATCTGCCAACTCCCATCCCCCTGCAAGTGTAATTATTGATGTTTTTATAAACTGCAATAATTAATTTGCAGGGTTAAGTCTTAGACATGGCTTCTTAGACGACTTTTGGTCGCTATGCATGATGACCTCCAGCGTAGCCAGAATCTCCATAGGAAAGCACTGAATAATGTGGGGGTGTGACATCGGCCCTGGGTTCAGGTAAGTGTCTGAAGGGGTTTCAACCCCTTCAGCGACGTGGGATGGGGGCACTGCAGGATCCTCTAGTGCCAGAAAAACAGGTTTATTTTTACTGGCACTGGAGAATCCCTTTAATGGTGATCAGCATCAAATCACAGCAGGATTTGAGGATGTTTTATCAATAAGCCTTATAAAGAAGAGGTCCTAACTTATCCTGCCCACATACACTCTGCGAAGACACCCATCACTCTCAGACATTAAGCTCTCCCAACAATTCTCCCTAATAAGAGAAGAGAACTGTCAGGAAACGCTTTTATTATAAAAGTTATCTTTGTTATCAAATGTGATATGAGCCTATTGCCAGAAAGGAAGATGCCATTGCAGTTTTCTACTTTGGTTGATCAATTTAACCCCCACCCCCTTTACATTTAGCTCAAAAGGAATTTCTGTCTCCACTAATTAACTAGGGTGTAGTCTCTGTTCATGCACAAAAGACAGTCGCAGGTAGCACATATTGCCACAGGTGCTGTGGTTTATTCTGGCAGATTCTCGTCACCATTTCATACATCTCATTCAGCTATAAAAATGTTTAGTTAAAAAAAAAAAAAGCTTAATAAAACTTATTCCTGGTATTTTTTTGGATTCTCCCATGTAATTTGGCACTGCTAATTTTGCTGGGTTTTCATTCCTGAATTTTGCAATATTTCCTTTTTCTTGCTCGTTTCCTTCTCTTGAACTGAGTTGTTTACCATCAAGGAGAATTTGATCTTGTCCAAACAGCTGTAGGTCTACAGAATAGGAATCCATACCACCTGGTTGTATGTGGACTATGCTTAATAAAAGATCTAATACATTGGCTGCCTATGGATGGTAGCGGCTGCAGTCCTAACACCAGTTGTGGAATAGGGGTGACAGGAAACCACAAGTAATGAGGAAGGCAGGTTTGCCTAATCCTGCTCCACAATCATATAATGTCAAATATATTTATTGTTTATATGGCTAATAGCACAGTTTACTAAAGGAATGGTTTTCAAAATACTCCTACATGTTTGAGCAATACCAGAAAGTTTTTCCATGTCTCTGAAGAGTTTATGGCTTGATGATCCTTCATTCTTATCCTACTCTCCTGCTTAGATCTTGCCCTACTCTTACCAATAAATAATTATACTGAGGTAGGAAAGTGAGGGATGCTGGATCTAGTTGGGAAGAATTCATCTTTACATTACACATAAATAATTTTTAGACAAAACTATGGACTTAATTCATATATAGGTTACATTCTGTTGATTGCCCCCACTATTGAGGTTGTTCTTTTGTGTTGATTTGGCAACTGCTGACAAAATGGATGCATTATATGTGATTCTATTAATTTAACCCCTTAAGGACCAAACTTCTGGAATAAAAAGGGAATCATGGCATGTCATACATGTTATGTGTCCTTAAGGGGTTAAAAAGGGCACTAGTGCATATATACACTTGATGAGGAAATCTTATATAGTTTACGTGAATTGGTGTTCAATGGCGGCTGTTAAACTTACAGTTCCAATAGAACAGTTTTTTATTTTTTTAAATCAAATTAGGGACAATTCTATGGTGGTTGAAAATGTGTCTGATGCACATGATTATGCTCAGGAACACACACAAATATATAACTTCAGACAAAGACAATATACAAAAAGGTGTATCTACAAAATATAAAAAGGACAAATCTCACATAGGATAATACGTAAAATACACTTAATGAGTAAAAATTCAAGGTTTAACTCATAAGTGTACGATAAAAAGAGCACATCTCAAACTGGTGATGTTTTCAATAATGTTAATTCTTCAATTCTCCAAGAATTGCATGTAAGAAAAAAAAAAAACAGTGAAGTAATAGTGCAACACTGTCAAATACTACAAGTTGCTTTATTGTACACACTTACAAGATCAATGGTAATAAAAAGCCCATCTGCAAAATCTCTGAAGTCACTGGATCAATGGTAAAGTGCAAATGCTAAACCAAATAGAATAATTAAAAAAGTATATGTAACAAACCCAAAGCGTTTCGTCTCATATGAGACTTCTTCAGAGGTATAGAAAAAAAAAAAAATCAATATGTCCATAAATCAAGTCAGTATAATGTCTTAGATGCAAAACGAGTCTTCTAACCCCTTAAGGACACATGACATGGGTTAAATATGTTGAAGTCCATCCCAGGGTTCAATTCCACCAGCTGGATCCATTCACGATCTTTGACTTTGTGTAGTTAATGGACCGCACATGGGTTCCACCTCCTTCCATGTATTTTTCTTTACGTTCATGCATCATCACGAAGACAGACACATCAGTGGAACGTACCCACGGACCTCACCTCTTCCGGGATAAAATTGGAATGCAGATGCGCTCCAGATCGCATTCGTTGCGCTTAAGATTCATAAAAATTAAGCCAGTTCGTCATACAAAAAAAAAGAGAAGAGAAAAAGGCAATTAAAAAAGGGGGGAGTGTGAATCGTTCATTTACAAAGAATCTGTATATATTCTTAAAACAGACTGAAATATACATAAATCGAAAGTGCATATTAGAAAGTTCATATTTTATTTTTGAAGTAAAATAAGATGTGGCAAATAAGATAAATACTAGTAATACACATGTGAAACATACAAAAAAAAAAAATAGAGGGAATATTTATACAACCAGTTTAAAAATGTGTTAAAATGTTGTATTACAAAATGATAAATATTATAAAAATTATAAAATCAACATTCAAACCCTTAGGTTGCAATGTCTAATTTATATATCCAATATCCCTCTCTTCTTCTAAATTTAATAACGAAATCACCCCCTTTAGTCCAATTTTACTTGTTCAATAATAGTGAAAATTAAAGTGCGAGGATTAAAAGCTGGATAGAGGTTACAATGCATAGGGACTGAGTGAGATGTAATACGCTTTCTAATGTTATTTTGATGTTCCAAAAATCTAACCTTTGCCAGTCTCCCCGTCCTCCCCACATAAAGTTATGAGGCTTTTTAAACTCTCATAACAGAGAGGGCTTTTATGTTTGTGGTCACTGTAAGGCCTGTAAAATTTTACCCAGAGTGTCTCTGTCCTTTCAAAGGTGGTCCACAGAAGAGACTTTTAAAATAAGGGTCAGTGTCTCCTGTTCCTTCACACATGTGGTGTACCTGCTTACATGTGGATGAAGTGCATAGTATGTGGGGAGGATGGGGAGACTGGCAAAGCTTAGATTTTTGAAACATAAAAATAACATTAGAAAATGTATTACATCTCACTTTAATTTTCACTATTACTGAACAAGTACAATTGAACAAAAGGGGGTGATTTAGTTATTAAACTTAGAAGAAGAGAGGGATATTGGATTTATAAATTACAGACGTTGCAACCTAGGGGTTTGAATGTTGATTTAATATGTTTTTTATGATAGTTATATTTTTTGTAATACAATATTTTAACAAGTTTTTAAACTGGTTGTATAAATATTCCCTCTTCTTTTTTTTGTATGTTTCACATGTGTATTACTAGTATTTATTATCCTATTTGCCACATCTTATTTTACTTCCAAGATAAAATATGAACTTTATAATATGCACTTTCAATTTATGTATATTTCAGTCTGTTTTAACAATATAGTTGTAGAAAATAATCCAGGCACTCCAAATTGTTCCAAACGATAGGCAATTTTTATTGGACCCAAGAACCGCACAACGTTTTGACCCCTTTGGGCCTTTGTCAAGCTAAGGGGTCAAAACATTGTGTGGTTCTTGGGTCCAATAAAAATTGCCTATCGTTTGGAACAATTTGGAGTGCCTGGAATATTTTCTACAATTATACTTCATACATGGTCTCTTTGGTACTGGGACTGATCCAGCAGCAACCTGAGATTCCTAAGCGAAGGGTTGAGTGCAGTTTCACCATCTATATATCAATGTTTTAACAATCTATACAGATTCTTTGTAAATTAATTATTCACTCTCTCCCCTTTTTAATTGCCCCTTTCCCTTCTCTTTTCTTTGTATGGCAAACTGGCTTAATTAGTCTGAATCTTAAATGCAATGAATGCGATCTGGAATGCATCTGCGTTCCAATTTTATCCCGAAAGAGGTGAGGTCCGTGGGTGGAACTCATTATGTGTTCCACAGGTGCGTCTGTCTTCGTGATGACGCATGGAAGTAAAGAAAAATACACGGATGTAGGTGAAACGCATGTGCGGTTCATGAGGTACTCAAAGTGAAAGGATTCCCGTTTTTGCGTGAAATTAAAGATCGTGAATGGATCCAGCTGTTTGAATTGAACCTGGGTTGGCTGATGGATGGACTTGAACATATTTCAAAGACTCGTTTTGCATGCAAGACATTATACTGACTTGATTTATCGACAGATTGATATTTTATGCCCCCGAAGAAGTCTCATGAGACAAAACACGTTGGGTTTGTTACATATTCTTTTTAATTGTTCTTATATTTGGATGCCATTTTTTGCATTTATTGTCTGATGTTTGGGAAGATCATGTGTGACTAGCTATTGCACTTTACCATTGATCCAGTGACTTCAGAGATTTTGCAGATGGGCTTTTTATTACCATTGATCTTGTAAGTGTGTACATATAGCAACTTGTTACAGTATTTGACAATGTTGCACTATTTCTTCACTGTTTTTTCTTACATGCAATTCTTGGAGAATTGAAGAATTAACATCATTGCAAACCACCAGTTTGAGATGAGCCCTTTTTACCGTACAGTTGTGAGTTATACCTTGAATTCTTACTCATTAAGTGTATTTTACGTATTATCCTATGTGAGATTTGTCCTTTTTATATTTTGTAGATACACTCTTTTGTATATTGTCTTTGTCTGAAGTTATATATTTGTGTGTGTTCCTGAGCATAATCATGTGCATCAGACACATTTTCAACCACCATAGAATTGTCCCTAATTTGATTTAAAAAAATGTGTGTTATCTACTCCATTTATATTTGGTCATTATTCCTTGGACTTTTTTTGCAATGTATTACCAGAGTGAGCGTGTTATTTGGTTATAAGTAAAGACAATATACAAATAAATTTTTCCTGTGTGTAGTGCAATATCTTCTCTCTCTCATTACAACCAAGTATCTGCATTTCTACCCCCTCAATGAGACCTCTTAGTATTACAGTGAATAAAGAGGAAGCGGCCATGGCTCAAAGGTTGGGAACCACTGCATGTGGAATTCACTCTGCTTTTAGCTTTCAAAGACTGATGTTCGCCTTGAAATATGTGACATTACATGAAGACGGGTGTTGGATTATTTCTTTGTTTCAGGTGTTATTTATAATAAATAAGATTTTTGTTTCTCTTTTTCAAAAGGAAGATCTATTTATCCTTTGGACGCTCAATGAAAGAAGTTACAGAAAATAAAAATAAAAAAAAACAGTGCTTAAATTGCTTCAATCAGTTAAGATGTTGCAAGTTGCAATAGTTCGATTTCACAAGTAAAACTGTATACCTCACAAAATGAGTTAGAGCCCACAACTTGCCCTTTCTGATGTCCAGTATTTCAAAAGCAATGTAGAAAAGGAATCGGTGAGTCATTTATTTCGACTGTCCTTACTCCTGCCGGTTCTAGGAGTGATATTAATTCCAATGTTCAAATTATACGGGAAACTTCCAAAAGATCAGGAGACAATGGATATCAGGTTATCGTGATTCTTGCAATGGCTTTATGCAGATATGCATGCCATCATTTTTGGGTCCATTTGGGGACTCTCTCTTAAATGTACAAGCATACAGAGAGATGATTTGGATCGTGATGGCTTTAAAGAAGAGAGCACAAAGTTAATTATATCGCCCAAGCTCCATCTTGCAACCGGACATACAACCTCTTTACCTTTTGTTTCTGTAATCATTACTTTGTATGTGTGTTAGTGCTATATTCATGATAATTAGAATGTAGGAGCACAAGGGCCCTTCTTACTATTTAATGATTTGCTGAGCCTTTGGGTTATTGGGTTTTCGTTAGGATTGTTGTTCGCCTTCTTGGGCATTATTAGTATTTTCGTGCCATATTAGATGCTGCAGCACAATGTATTTTGTTTTGGTTTTCCTTTCATCATGCACCGTGAATCTTAAAGGGTTACTCCAAAACTCAGAACCACTTCAGCCCGCTGGAGTAGTTTTGATGCCAGGAGAACACTGGTCCTGTTCACTGGTAATAATGCAAATGTTTACAACAGTCTGCATTTGATCTGTTTTGGCTTTATATTCATGATGTGTTTTTACAATTAAATATCTTTAGTTTTGCTTTTGAAAAAAACAAACAAATAAAAAAAACAAAAAAAAAACGACCTTTTGCTTCTTTCTGCAGAATAACCCCCACTTCTTTAGCCACACCTCTTTTCACAAACTTATTCCTGACAAGAATGTACGCAGTATAGCTCGGCCAATGGGTGATCTGCTGACTGGATTTCACCCTACAGTCACTGCCCTGTTATCTGTATCATATTTTAAAGCCACGATAATG